GAACATGAACAGTCGCTTCGACAATCACGTCGCGGTCGGTCAGTGTCGTGTCGCTTGTCGGTGAGTCGATGGTGATCTGTGGGCGAAGCGACGCCAGGCCTTCCAGGCGATTGTGCAAGTTGAACGGTACCTCCGCTTTGGCGACTTGCATCGCGGCGGACAGGCTACCGGCGTCCAGCAATCGCTCCATCACGCGTGGCTTCTCCAACTGCTGCTGAAGCTCGGCGGCCAGGAAAAAGTCTGGTGCCTGATCGATGCCTTGGTTGATTTGCCAACCAAACATCTTGTGCCCATTGAACGACGCATCGTAGTAGCCATACGGCGTCCAAAACGCCCATTCCCGATCTGTCGTCGTTACCAGCGATGCAAGCGGCTGCCAGGCCGGATGCAGAAAGAAAGGCTTCTGGGGGGCACCATTGCGAACTATCTGAAAACGGAGCATCGTCTGGCCATCGGTCGAATCNNTTGCTCCTGCTTGGGTGGCTGGTCGGCATCGGCATCTTCGGCTGCATCGTTGCGTTTGACCACAGCGGCGATCACGTCACCATCTCGAACGCCGCGATAATAAAGCGGGCCGTCGGGAACGACATCGCGCACGACCACGCGTCCCTCGACGATCTCGAAGTTCGCCCCCCAGCGGTTCTGCGAAGGCGAAGCGATCGGGTTTTCGGTCAGCTTCCAAATATTGACCAGGCCGTCGTCGCTTCCGGTAACCAAATATCGATAGTCGACCGAAACGCCAACACTGCGAATTGCCGATGAATGCCCACGAAACTCGCGCACGACACGAACGTTCTGTGGGTTCGTGATATCGAGCAGGTAGGCATGGTTTCGACCGAGTGTACCTACGACAACATGAGTCGGGGCTTGGTTTTGCTCACCGATCGCCAGCCAGCAAACTGACGTGATGCGCGATGTACCAAGTATGGACGCTGGAATCTGGCAGTAGGTATCGTCGTTCTGAACGATCTCGTAAACCAAACGTGTCCCACGATCGACAGCTTTTTGCGTCAGCTTCCAGGGGCCTTGCCAAGGGTTGGAAGGGACCATCGGCGGTGGCGGTTGCACTTCCGTATAGCGACGCTGGGCCGTTTCAAACTGAATTGCTTTGGGGGGCTCTTCGCCGCCGGCAGGAGGTTCGATCACAATGCGATAGTCGGGGTCGAGCGTGAAGCCAACTTTCGCGGGCGCAACAATCGGTGTGGCTAACCGGGCAGGGCGATCGAAGTTATCCCAGGGATAGACAATCACGGAGTTGTCCTGGGTGACTGCCAAAAACTTTCCATCGCCGCGGAAGGCACAATCGGTGGCGACTGCCGCAAGAGGGACCGACGGCATTGCTGTGGGAGGTTGTCCAGCCGGCCAATCCCAAAGGCGCAATTCGAATGGACCACGCGGCGACTTCGCGACGATCGCGGCAACGCGGTTGCCACTTGATGGCATTGCTACGCTCCGGACATTCGCCCCGGTCGCGATCGATTGCGAGGCGTTTGCATTTTGCCGATCGGCTAGGACCAGCACGCCGGAGTCGCTGATGTCGGCGGCCGCGACACGCATTCCGTTATCGCTACTGGCCATCGCTCCGATCCCGCCGGGGAATTGATGAGGAATCGCGGCGAGTAATTCGGCGTTCTCACCGCCAGCTTTCCACGTTCCGATCCGCCAATAGGGGATGCCTTGTTCCATGCGCACTGGGATGGGGAACAGGAGCGTATCGGATCGGTTCGAGGCGATCCGCGTTCCGCGCAGCAGCCAGGGACGAAGTAGGGCGGGATCGGCTTTCAGCGTGGCATTCAAGTTCGAGCCACGCACGAATCCCCACTTGCCGGTCTCGGGATCCGCCGACCAATAAAGAATGTTTCCTTCCGAATCGAGCGAGTAGAGCCCGTCTGGCATCGCGGCCAGGTCAAGGATTTGCGAACGAGGGCCACGATCGCCATCGAACAGTGTTCGCTCGTAGGCCATGCGCGTTTCGTCGGCGAGAACAATTTCTCCGGTCAGCGCCGAGGCCCCAATGCCTGCAAACGCGAATTTGTTGTCGAGTGGAGCGAGAGCGTGGATATCGCCACGGGTCGCGCGCTGCACTTGCCAACGGACAGGAGTTTCGTAGATCCAACGCTGGATACCGCCGGGCTGCGGGGGAGCGGCGATCCAACTGTGTACCATT